AAAAAGGGCTGGGGACGGGGCTCAGGGGTGAAGCGCCCCTGGGTTCCATCCCTGGTACCAAAAAATTTAACATGGTGGGCAGGACGTGTGTGACCCACCGTGCTCAGGGCCTGTCCCCGCTACCGTAGGACGAGATGCTGGCCCGCTTCGTGGTGGGCAGCCACGTGCGTCACCACCCCAGCAACAAGGAGGACGGGGGGATGGTCAACGGCAGCACCCCAGAGCCCGCCATGCCCAACACGTACGGCGTGGAGCCGCTGCCCCAGGAGGTACTCAAGAAGTACATCATCTACGCCAAGGAGAAGGTGCACCCCAAGCTCAACCAGATGGACCAGGACAAGGTGGCCAAGATGTACAGCGACCTGAGGAAGGAGTCCATGGTGAGCGCTTGGGCCGCCGCTGTGTGCACGCTGGGGAGGCTGAGGCAGGAGGATCGCAAGTTGGAGGCCGGCCTCAGCCACTCAGCAAGACCCCGTCTCTAAATAAAAAATAAAAGGGCTGGGGACGGGGCTCAGGGGTGGCAGCACCCTGGGGTCCGTCCCGCCCGGGTGCCCAACGTTAGCACCAAGCGGGAGGCACAGCAGCCCCTGGAGTGGACCGGTTTGCGGTTGGAAGAGGCCCGGAGCTCACTCGGCAGCTCCTTCCGCCCTCGCTGAGCCTGCCCTGTCCCCCCCGCAGGCCACGGGCAGCATCCCCATCACCGTGCGGCACATCGAGTCCATGATCCGCATGGCCGAGGCCCACGCGCGCATCCACCTGCGGAACTACGTGATCGAGGACGACGTCAATATGGCCATCCGCGTGATGCTGGAGAGCTTCATCGACACGCAGAAGTTCAGCGTCATGCGCAGCATGAGGAAGGTGGGCACCGTCCCAGCCGGGGGACCCCCCGTGCAGCGTGGCCGGGAGGGCCAGCTCTGGGAAGCAGGCCTAGGGGGCTCTGGTCTGCCTCCCACATGCTTAGGAGGCTGAGGCAGGAGGATCCCAAGGTGGAGGCCGGCCTCTACAATTTAGTGAGACCCTAAGAAACTGTCTCCGTAATTTAGCGGGACCCTAAGAAACTGAGCAAGACTGTCTCAAAAGAGCAGAGCTGGGGACTGGCGGGGTGGGTGTCCCACCTGGGTGTGGCCCTGCCCCTCACCTGGCTGTTGGGAGCCTGGGGGGGGGACGGAGCCACCAGAAATGGTCCCCCTGGGTGGTGTCTGACCTGTCCTTCCTCCTGCAGACCTTTGCCCGCTATCTTTCCTTCCGGCGCGACAACAACGAGCTGCTGCTCTTCATATTGAAGCAGTTGGTGGCAGAGCAGGTGACGTATCAGCGTAACCGCTTTGGAGCCCAGCAGGACACGATCGAAGTGCCCGAGAAGGACTTGGTGGACAAGGTACGGGCTCCCGTGGGAGGTTGGGTTAGGGTTAGGCTCCCTGGGGAGCCTGTCCGTCATCCTCGGGGGCTTGGCGGAGGGGCCTCGAGTGACAGCTGGAAGTTGGCGGAGGCTGGCCTCCAACTCACGATCCTCCTGCCTCGGCCTCCCGAGCTGCGAGGATTCTAGACATCGCCTCCTCCGGGGCCCCCTAAGTCCACTGACTCGCACACTTGGCCTTTGTCCCCCCGTTAGGCTCGGCAGATCAACATCCACAACCTCTCTGCCTTCTACGACAGTGACCTTTTCAGGATGAACAAGTTCAGCCTCGACGTGAAGCGGAAATTGATCTTGCAGCAATTCTGAGGTCACCCGGGGGCCACCCGGAGGGGACTCCCCGATGACACCGTATTCGGGGGAAATCAGACCCAGCGCTCAGTCACTTTGTGCTTTGTGGACGTGAAACCCAAACTCCTGGGAGACTCGGGGTTAGGGTTACGGTTGGCAGAGGGATGTCTAGCGTCACCGGTAGTATTTATTTTTCTGGCCTCACTTTTTTGCTTCAGGAACACTTTTCGGAGGGGTGGGGGGTACCAGGGATTGAACTCGGGGAGCCCTCGACCACTCAGTGACATCCCCAACCCTGTTTGGTACTTTATTTAGAGGTGGTCACAGTTGCTTGGTGTCTTTTGCTGAGGCTGGCCTCCACCTTGAGATCCTCCTGCCTCAGCCTCCCAAGTCGCTGAGATACTGGGCATGCGCCACGGCACCTGTCAGACCTTTCAAGTGGACGCTTTTGACTGCTTAGGTTCCTACCCGTGGTACCTCCTGTCTGCAAATGTTTTTCTGGATTTCTGTCCTGTTGTAGAAAGACTCACAGCTCCTGCTTGAGTGCTTGTGATTCCTGTGATAGTGTGGCTTCGGTCCCCCGACTGGGGGACGTAAGGAATGTACCACGGGGCACGTGGATTATTCACCACTTTTACTCCTATATTAATTAATAGGATTCTCGTCCCGGGTTATTTCTTGCATTGCTTTGTACATAGTTTTTTCTTTCTGTAGTTCAGATTTTTAATAAAGTTGAATAAAATCGAAACCTTGGTATCTATTGGCCTCAATTCTTTTATTTGTTTCTTCTTTTTTTGGTCCCAGGGATAGAACCCAGAGGAGCTCAACCCTGGAGCCCTGTCCCCAGCCCTTTTCATATTTTATTTAGAGACAGGGTCTCGCTGAGTTGCTTAGGGCCTCACTTTGGCTGAGGCTGGCCTCCACCATGTGATCCTCCTGCCTCAGCCTCCCGAGCCACTGGGATGACAGGCGTGTGCCTGGCCGTATTTCACGGTTCCTTATGAGCAGTGTTCTCCTTTACGAATTTCTCAATACACTTAAATTTAAATTATGATATGCTCTTTAACCCTGGGGTTATTTAGAAACATGCATTTTGGATCATGATTTCCTCCAACAGTTCAATCTCTTTTGCTTTTTATTTTTCAAGCAATTACCATTTCAGATCCACAGGCTAATCTGGCTGTACTGTTTTGGGGGGGTGTGTTTTCCTGTCATTCCCAGGAACTGGAGAGGAGGGTGGAGATTCCTCAGAAAACTGGGAATGGAACCACCATGGGACCCAGCCGTCCCACTCCTCAGTTTATACCCAAAGGACTTAAAATCAGCACAGGACAGGGACACAGCCACATTAATGTTTATAGCAGCTCAGTTCACAATAGCTATAAACTGTGGAGCCAACCTAGGTGCCCTTCAACAGGTGGATGGATAAAGAAATTGTGGTCCATATACACTGTAGAATATTACGCAGCCTTGAAGAAGAATGGAATGATGGCATTTGCTGGTCAATGGATGGAGCTGGAGACGATCGTGCTGAGTGAAATAAGCCAGTCCCCCCAAAACCAAAGGCTGAGTGTCCTCTCTGATATGGGGACGCTGACTCACAATAGGGGGGCAGAGAATAGCAGTTCACTGGATGAGATGCAGGGGAAGGGAGGGGAGGGGACTGGGAGAGACAGGGGAATGAATCGGCGGCGCCCCATCCCCAGCCCTTCTCCTTTTGTATTTTGAGACAGGGTCTTGCGAAGTTGCTTAGGGCTCTGCTAAGTGGCTGAGGCTGACCTCCACCTTGTGATCCTCCCGCCTCAGCCTCCTGAGCCACTGGGACGACAGGCGTGCAGCATCATGCCCGGCTGAAAACATGAATTGCTTCTGGGTCACATCCAAACTTGTCATGCTGACATTGGAGATCCTGTACTATCTGATCTTCGCCTACCTGCCTAGTCTCCATCAAATCATCTGGGCCACGGAGTTTGAAGTCGACCCCAGGGTAAATGAAGCCACAGAGTTCTATGAATTAAATTAAAGAATGTCTTCTTTACTGTGTGAATTCTCATTTTACGGTCTCTGTTTTCATCTTGCCATCCATAGCCACTTTTTCCTAGCTCAACTGTGGAACCAACCTAGATGCCCTTCAACAGGTGGATGGATAAAGAAAATGTAGTCCATATACACAGTGGAATATCACTCAGCCATCAAGAAGAATGAAATGATGGCATTTGCTGATAAATGGATGGAGCTGGAGAAGGGTCTACTTACTTGGTCCAGAATAACCAAGAATGTCGTTTCTCTTTCCCTTCTGTCCCTTCCGCCTCCTGATACTCACAACACAGGTGTCCTCCACTGTCATGTGAAGCCACCTTATGCTCACGTCCCTTCCTTTGACTGAAACCCACTCTCCTCTATACCTCTGCTCCTGCCAATGCTATTTCTCTTAAGGATTTATCCTGCAAGACTCATGTGAGATCATCTCCCATGACACACACCGTGGGGAGGGCTGAGGACACATTTCACAAGCCCATTTGACACAAGATGGTGCACGCCTGTCATCCCAGCGACTCAGGAGGCCAAGACAGGAGGATCGCAAGTTGGAGGCCAGCCTCAGCCACTCAGCAAGGCCCTGAGCAACTCAGGGAGACCCTGTCTCTCAATAAAATCTAAAAAGGGGCTGGGGACGGGGCTCAGAGGGTGAGCACCCCTGGGTTCCATTCCTGGTCCCCCCCCCCCCCCCACCCCCAAAAAAAGAAGCAAACTGGACCTCTGTGCTCTAAGTCTGGTCCTTGGCTGTGGCCTTGGCCCAGAGTCCTCCCAATCCAAGAGCCCGGGATGGGTGGTCACCTGCACATTGTCATCAGTGCCAGCTTCTCTTTAGTGCTGATCGGACCCCCCAAGGTCCCCCTGCGCAGAGCAGCCAGCGCAGCTGCAGCAGCAGCAGCGCACGCTCAGCTGCCAGGCGAGGTGCGAGGCCCGGGGTCCAGGCGGCTCGGCCCCGCCCCCCGGAGCCTCCTCGGGCGCTGATTGGCCGCTCCGACGCGGGGGCGCTGCGGAGGGGGGGGCGGCCGCCCGCGCGCCCACCTCGTCTCGGCGGGGGCGCGCCCGCGGCACGCGGCCGGGCGGGGCCAGGCGTGAGTGACAGCCGCGCGGGCCAATGAGGAGAGCGCGCGCCGCCGCCGCCGCCAGCGCGGTTCCCTGACGCGGGCCCGGGCGCCGCGCCGCTGCGGCTGCGGGCGGCG